TGACAAATTAACCTTGAGCAGTCCCTCTAGCGAGTGTCTTTCGAGGTACCGTGCACAAGGCAAATGTCCCGGCTCGTCTTGGCAGCATTTCGGCTTCAACGAACTCACTGCATAGCAGAAGCCGAATTCTCTTCTAATCTAAAACATCGATTTTTGGGAAATTCTTTTCAGTTGAAATTGCGTTCGCAACACAATACCGTTACAGACACTGATGGAGTAAGAAGGGCAGTATTATAGAAGCTAACAACAAGTAAAGCCTAAAATATATCTAATAACTTATTTACAGACATACATCCTTCATTTAAGTGATGGACAATGTTTAGCTAAATGACGGGAATACAAGATCTGATCTATCCATCTGAGTATCTATATACAAATGGAACATTTTGCTTAACTGTAACTTAGAATCGGCTTCCTGAATATTTCCGCTAAACGTCTACTAGATGAAATGCTATTTCACCTATGTCCCGGATGCACTGGCCCAGATGAACTCCAAGGTGGCCATATATGAGCATTAATAGTACTATTTTCCTAAACGCATTTTTCGTTAGCTCGGCTTGTAAAAATATAGCTATGAGACTTAATTTTCTGAGATGTAGTATTTTTAAATTTTTGTTTGAAAATTATCTAATAATATCAATTAGATTGAGCGTTAAAAAAAGCGTTGATCATTTGGTTGTATTAATTTAGCCCTGAATGTTATTTAGCTACTATGTAAAATCGGCCTACCTCTTCCTCGTTAAAAATTAGATATGTTCTTTCAACTTTGGTTCATATGCCAATAGTATTTTGTTGTACGATATATAATGGCGAACGTGTAAAAAAAAAGAGATTAGAAAAAAAAAAGGATGAACGATGATAGTTCAACCTACCCGCCGAGCCTTAACCTATGTAAGAGATATACCGAAAACAACATAATAATTGACTCATTTATTAAAGTGTACATGTTTGTGTGTCGTCTATAGGTTTTCGTTTTAGTTGAGCATAAATCAGCCTGTGATGGCGACAATTAGTTTACCATCTATTGTCATTTTTTCCGTTTAGTTCTAGCTTTATTGAAATATTTGAAAGCACTTCCTTTTAGGTTTCTTACTTCTCCGATAGGGGCTTTTTTTTTTTGCTTGCAATACTTGAACTGATTCACGGATATGGTCGGAGGAATATGCTTCCTACTAATATAGATATATGAAGTGGAACGTATAGGAGATGATAACATCTTCAAAAATTGCGCTCCACTGAATCCAGATTCACCTGTGACTTGTGATTGTCTAAGAGGAAGGTGTTCGCTCTGCGAGGAGGTCGTCAGGTACTTCGAAATAAAAAAAAAAACAGATTCTTCAATGGACAATTGACCTGAGTTCAAGAAAGTGAATTCTTATTATTATTATTATTGAAATCAACTGAGAATCGTTATTTTATTTGACAGGTCGAAATTACGCATTATGTTTGTATACAGGAAGCATTCTATACACGCACTGTAATATTAACACCAAGCGTCTGTAGCCATTTCTATAACACAAGTTACTGATTGTGTGTTGTTGTTGTTATTATTATTATATCAGATATACTATTATTATTATTATTCGAAAAGTATTACTATCAAGTCCGAGATTAGCGCAGCCAGACGCAGCTTGTAATTTCATCCTAGGTAAATGAAAATGAGCGTAGAAAATGTGCCTGTAAAGGAGGATGAAGATAGCAGATAGTCACACTTCAGTAAGTTCCAGATGGCTATAATGTATAATTGCTTGGTTCGAAGGTTCTTCCTAATGATGCACAACTGCAAATCAAGGCAAAATACCTCAGTATAATTGCACGCTTTGAATTATAGCTGCGGAAGAACTTAGTAGGTCGTTTTAGACGGACGCATTGTCTAGGCCTAACATCAGTACTCTACGTACGAATGAACGCATTCGAAATCCACCTGTGGACAAGTAGGCTAAACGGATGAACACTCGAAATACGGATCAACGAACCTATTGAAACGGTCCAAGCCCGACAATTCTGAGTCCCCAGCTGCGCCCCGACATGTGCGCAATTATCTTTCACAAAGGGGAATGTCTGTTAATGTAGATGCTACTTTATATATACGCTACTAAATACATATAAAAGCAGGGCTCGTCCGCGCAGTTAATTCGTGTAGAGCTGGAATCTTGTTGCAACTTCTGTTTTACCTTTTCAGTTAACTCAAAACTCTAGCCATCAAACTGCTGTTCGTATCTGGAACAAAATGCGAAAATTATCTTGCTACGAGTGTCAGATTGACACTTGCTTGGCGCCAGCGTTGCAGTGAAGACTGGTCTTTGAAACTAACCCCTCAGCAGTGGACGCTTCCAGCCTTAGGGCCGAGAATTAATTGCACATCAGATTCGTACCTAAAAATCAAACCAGACGTACAATATCATCGATCTTTTTTTACCTCTTGATCGAAGGCAATTCTGTTTATCCAAAGCAGCGTCGCTACCACGATAACAATTCTCTATATTTGCTAGGATGTGTACATTGACATTATTTTACCCTCTGCCGTGCTTCACTCACCATTACACCTGGAAATTCTATAATTATTGAAATTGCCGTGTGTTACCTAGATCTATGGAAATTTGCTTAGTCTGATTAGGATCTATGAATCGTGAAGAAAGTAGTGGCCGCCCACGTCGCTAAACGAGTTCCATTCAAGGGTACCGAGAGGTAAAATGTTTCACGTTCGGCAGTTCTATCGCACGCCTCGCTATGCCTTCATTCGACCCCACACGTTACCTACTATCGTGACGACAGCTCATAGCGAAACATCAGGGAACGCTGATTCAACTCTACCTGGATGGAAGGTATACATATCTACTATTGAATTTCTTCATCACAGAAAACTTTTTGTGGGGCGCCTTCTCTCTACAACGTCTTAATTCAAATTAGAAGCGTAAAGAAGCACACTTAGAGCAGGAAACTGCAAATCTCCTAGTCGAATAGTATAATTTACTGGATACTCTTCCTCTCGACTCCGGCTTAATTCACAACAATTGGTTGAACGTGATGGCCTCCGTCTCAAATGGGTGGAATTGATAGAATCTGATGCATGATTGCGATCGTTTACCTTTTGATTTGATCTCTTATCTTCATTCTACTTTGCTCACTACGCCCTTACATTGGACTTGATCAAAGGTTATATCACTGTAGATTGTTTGAGACACAAAAATTAGTCAAGCACTCGTCTGCTTTTACGGCTAGTTGTAACAAAAAAATTGTTTCGCCCTTTTTCTACCCTTTCCTCTTTTAATTGACGAAGCTCGCAATTTTCTATCTGGCCAAACTGAAAAATAATCCAGGATTTTAAAATTTACGTTAAACTAGCTTATAATAAGTATTCTATTTTTTTAAATTGAGATACTTTCCTTAACAGCCAAATCGTAAGGGTATGTTCCCAAGTTTTTATTTAACGGGATAGGTCTGCATATCTGTCATACGCCGACAAGAAGAAATGTTTTGCTGCATATCGCCCATTCGGCATCCAGGATTTAGAAGAAAGACATAGAGACGATCAATTATAAAACGTTGCAGACGACATTTTTACAACAACCTCTCGTGCCACTGTCCGCAACAGTCTACTTATTTGGAATAATCAAGTCTTTCTCGATAGTATTTATTGTGTCGCTGTCCGAGGAGTCATTCCATACGTTTTTTTGGAGTGATACAAATAAATGTCCATTAAAACTGTTGGAACAACTTTACGCACTGCGCTTCCTCTGTAACTAAAAGCATTCACATAACCCTTCCTTCAGTATGTTTCTGTTGCAATAATAACAACTTGAGTTTCGGGATCTAAAATAGCAGCTCAAGTACGTTGTCGAGCTTCGCATAGCAGCCATGCTTCACATATTTAAACCACATAGTTCAGAAATGGTTACCGGTATTCCAGCCGTTGTGTTTGAAATAGTCATTTGATCGTATCAAGCTTGAATTTTCCCAAGTTTTTCGTGATGAAGATGAGGATTTCAGCACGATGTCTTCGCTGTCGTGCTCGAACGGGATCTTTGTTTCGATATGTTAAAACCATTTTTCAGGAGAAGCTTTAGGCAGAAAAGCAGTTTGAGCTTAATAGTCGTTTATCATGAATATTTTTGTTGCAACTTGGAGGACGTTGGAGGAGGGGGCGATTACAGTTTTTCAGCGAACTCGTATATTCTTATGGTAGTCGACAAACTCTCGTCGCTTGCAAGTCAGCCCAACGGAGACATGTGGCGTCGAATCAAGTTAGCATCGGCGATATAAAGTGCTTAGTATTCGTACCACACTCCCAACCACTGCCCAAGTCAAGGGCAAATGACAGATTCCGGTATCTATTCATCTACTTAGCTCTCTCATTTACGAACGTTTGTAAAAAACTAAGGGTGTTTGCATATCAACAACTGGCGAACTCGTCACCATTTTACGGTTAGTCGACTATAACATCTATGTCATATATCTTTACATATTATCCGGAAGGATATTCATTTCTCGTCGCTCTAAACGTAGTCATCGTTTAGGCCTGGTCTCATCTCATTTAAATTGGCTGATTCGAATGATCGACGATGGACAAGAGGCTACCTCAAAAGTACGTACTCACGTCAACTTTACCCTTTCAAAGGTAAACTTTTTATAAGGTCACGAACCTGCTACTGAACTCTTACACCATTCCTGCAGGTCTGCCCAATAGACTTGCATTCGTAAAAATTTACAAAAAAAAAGAAAATTACGGACGGATGTTTACTTGCTCTAGCAAGGAGAATACTACCGAAAAGGGAACTTATCTATCTTTTAAAACTGGTTCAGCTCGAGCACTCGTCAAGTGCAACATTTTTGTTTCTCTTAATGAAATTACACGAGTAAGATATTAGGATTAAAAACATTAGGCAGAATCGCTTAAAATATATTCTAATCGAACGAGTTATTAGCCGCTAACTCAAACCCCCCATCCCCCATAGATATACCCCGCACTGCATGCGTGATAAAATAAAGACGCCTTAAGCTGCATGTATCGGTTAATTATATCTATTTGCATTTATTGTATAGCAGGTCAACGACTTATTTTCTCATAATCAAATAGCACACCCTTTACAAATAAGCAGTTAAGCAAACATTCGTTCCGGTTGCGTGCCGCACAAGCACTTAAACCGATAGAAAATCAGACAAAAATCAAAGCAAAAAACACAATATATAATAAGACGCAATGCATAGCATGCTATCACGTCATTGAAGGAACATCACTTCGACGCGTAGAGTACCTTTGAAAGGTAAATCAGCAAATAAATAGTTAATCCAATATCACTGCATGATGACGATCAGCTGACGCGACAGGCACAAACGTACCTCTTTTCATTCAGATCCGAAGTTTCATTCCAATTTTGGGACTTTCAGTTTGTTGATCTAGGTGGTTCGAGCCACTTGATCCTTGGCCGCTGTTCGTAGAAAAAATAAAGCGTCTAGCTTTGAGCCCTTCATCCTATGGTGAGAACAATGAAAAGGGGGTTTCGGATCACTGATTCGCCATCTACTGCTGCGTCGAAATCAGCTCAGGACGCAGCCTCTGCAACTGCTCCCTCCGATAATCGATGTCTTTAACTACACGTAACACGTGGACCGCTTTACAGAAATCGTAAAATATGCCGTATCTGTTTGAGTTCGTTTCGAGTATGTGCGAAAGAACAACCCGGTCCGACAGTTCCGGTTTGAGAAGTGTGTATAGCACAATGAATACTGTGCCTAAAGCGGTAAGCACGATAACTGCCAAAGCGAATTTGGTGCTGAGTTTGTGGTCAAGCTGAGGATTTTTCCAGATGAACCATGCCAGTGTACAAAGTAGATTCTCGATGACTCCCGCGGACAGAAAGCAAAATACAAATAATTTTCTTTTAAACACGAACATCATAGGCCAATACATTATCGACGGCAGGCCAAACAAAAAAAACGCGAGCACAACGAGAACACCATTATTCGTTTTTGCAGGTAAGTTGGGGGTACATCCTTCTTTTAAGGCTCGCTCCCTTTCCTCACAATGACTGTCCTTTATGATTTTAAAGACCAACGCCGTCGCCACTCCCGTATGCGAAAGGATCACTCCTATGACAACGGCGCCTCCCAGTGCGGAAGAGAGCAGCGCGAAGGCCAATGCACGGGACGCACAGTAAGATACCCATCCAATAAATGACAGTGTTTTCGTAAGGCAGCCGTCGTCGCGACGTTGCAAAGCCTTGATGAGAGATAGTACTGCTAATGTCGAGCCGATAATTTCCGAGTAAATCACGAAGCTGTCGTTGCTTTTTGTCGACATGGTGTTCACAAAATGTAATTGTAGTAGCAGCTGGATGAAGCCGGAGTAAAAGTCTTCAAAGAATTCAAAGACGAACGTTTCTTGCTTAATTCTGGATAGTTCCTGTTGTTCTTTTGGTTCGAGTTCACGATATTGGCAAACTTTGTCGGCTGAGAAAGCGAGCATCTCGCAGTGTCCCTTTATTTGCCACGGGATTAATAAAATCCCCTTTACCAATTTGGTAAGCACATTGCGTAGGTCGCTCTGTTCCGATGACACCGTGCGAAGCACTTCGTAAATAGCGTAGATGAGCGTGGGTGCCAGCAGGCAACTTGCACTGATCAGGAGCGCATACCGCTGTCGTTTCTCCCAGTACTCAAGAACGGTGCGCGAATCATCAACTAATTTGTAGATGTAGATCGATAAGTGCACCATGCCTTCGATGAGCAGGAAAGGAAATATACAGCCACAGTTTGGGCCTTGCGATACTTCATGCTGCCAATCGTCACTGTTGACGTTCGATTCAACGTCTCTTCCATTATTAGCCATAGTTGAAATATGTTGCCTTTTCGACGCTATGGCTAGAAAGAACTGAGTCTACGTATCGGCACTTAATGTAGTATAGGTCTTCATAGCTTGTAGCTGTTATGGCTATGGTTGAACTTGCTTCTCAGAGCCTGTGCTCACGAGTTACAACGTCTATGTAACATGTGTCACGATTCCAGCTCACTATTGGCATCAAAACATAGTGACCACAGCAGCTCTAACATCAGGTGGGTCCGGCGCTCTACTGCGCATGCGTTGGCAATAGCAGCCCACTGTGTATACTGTTACTGCACCCACTTGCCACTGTTTGGCGGATGGCTTTGAGCGGGTCCTTTACGTCGTGGCTATTAACAGAATCGGTGCGTTAGCTTATACAGCTGCGGTTGTTACATTGTGTTATTATATTCACATAAGTATTCGTTAGCAGTCAAGGGTTTGCCAGATTGTACTATACTTGTTTACACGGTATTTTCAAAAACTGTGACTGTTGATGATATAAACATTTAAAGAAATGACTGTTTACTAGCGTGACAACTAAGAGTATCAAGTAAAAAATTACCACTTGCTTTTTTTTAAATAGATCGACATTTGCTTAATCTTAGTGGCAATTGCGCGATCAACAAATAATTAATTAAAACAGATACTAATAAATCGAGTTGCGTTGTAAAATAAAATTTTTACAAATTAAATTTGCTTCAAACTCGGTTTAGTCCTATCTTTTAGCAAAAAGTATAATTTAGCGAATTTAGTATCTTTGTTTGTCATTTGTTACACCAGAGTGCATGGTAGGTTTATGTATCATATCCATAAGTAAGCATCCTGCTTTTATGACACTTATCTTTGGTAATGGTAATGGTATACCAAATGCAGAAAAGACGGTAGGACAATTTGCTAGGCAATAAAGTAGCTAAAACAAGCTTCCTCTCACATATACTTCGGGAAAGTTTACGTTAGATTTCGGCTGAAAGTTTGAAGTTGCTGGAGGCATGGTCATCGGTCATAGATGACGTCCGAGGTAATAACAAGACCATGAGTTTAGGCATCAAGTAAGTTATGGACCGGCTAAGTTGTTAGCCTGATCCTGTGATACGAACGATTTAACATACAAGGTGCTATTAATGATGTTCTTTACGCAGAAAATAGTAATGTTTTTAAAAATTATGTTTTCGAGTAGTAGACAATCATCTGTATATAGGCATCTGCCATCACACAGAGATATTATGTGCTGTTTTGGACTCCACCACATAAATCTTTCACAATTATTTTTTTTCTAAAATTAGTCTACACGCCTCTAATCGATCACAATCGATGGCTCTTAGCCATAGCAGTCAAAAATGCCTTTTTTATAACCCATGGATACACGCAATCGCTATACGCTATTTTATAGTATATCATTTACTACTGCACAAGAGTGACATCTACCATAAACAAAAAAAAAGAACACACACAAACGGCGAAATTTATCTACAATGCTTAAAAGAATCATTCTACAGTGAAGCTGTTCTTTGCGCTATATTATTACAGTGACGTTTACAGGGAACAGGTGACTCTATGAGCGTATATATCAGTTTAAACTTCCTATAGCACTGTGTTTCCTGTCGTCATCTTTGCCAACTAGTTAAGTGTTAAAAATTTACAGAAACAGTGATGAATCGGGAAGTTCCATCAGAAGGCGGATCTAAGTTTAAATCCGCCTTCTGGTGGAACCTAGTGTCCTTGAAAAAATCTTTCTATAGATAAACGTTTGAATTTTCTATGTTTTATTTTGGATCTTAACGGTATTTTCCCAAAAACAGCGTGTGCGACAATACCGGAGAATCGGCAGCATAGGGTGCCCGTTTACAATCTCGTGGACACTTGACTTATTGTTGTTTAAGCTTGGCAAATTTAACAACGAATCATTATAATTAGTCACTGCTGCTTTGGGACAACCATTCCACCAAGAAAGTTACTATTAAAGCTACGTATGCCTTTTCCTGAAAGAAGCAATCGGTACTCGTTCAAAGTTGCAAAGGTAAGCATAATTTAAATCAACATGACCGATACTATCTTTTTCAGTTTTATATACGTACCATGTGGCGTAACTCTAATGTCCACCAGTTGACTCTATTATGAAAGAACCATTGAATTGAACTTAGCATTTCGCACCAGTGGCATTTGGCTTATGACATTCAGGTAGCACGCGGCCGTACTCCAGGTCTTCTCTCAGCCGAACAAGAGACTAGATGAGTGGTAATGATCATGACGATGGCGATGATGATGAAAAGGGGGCGGAAAAGCGAAGGAGGAGGAAAAAAGGTGTCGCCGCCGCCGCCGCCGCCGCCGCCGCCGGCGACGACGAATTGAGTACCATGAAGGAATGGCAGGGGACAAAGTGCGGGCGGGCGGGTGAGTGTGAACAGGGCTCAGCTGTAGTAGCCATCAGAGTCCTCAAAAGTAAAAGTGTTGGAGTCGGTACGATGCTGGCGATGTCAGTAAACGCGGTGGCGGTGGCTGCCTCGTTAAATGGTGCTATTCGTCATCCCCATACTTCAGCCCCCCATCCAACGACGACCACTCTAAGAACGCCAGCCGCGCCCCGAGGGTTATAAATGCTGATTGCAGTTTGAGGCTTTACGCTAAAAAACTCTACCTTGGGGATATAGAGGGATTGGTAGCGAAAAGCGGTAGAAGCAGCAGGAGCCAGTTTGCCCGCAGGGCGCAGAGGGCACAGGTGGTGGCGGTAGCGGCCATAGCTGCAGTGAAGCAGTGGGTGACAGAGAGATGGAATCAGTCATCAGCTTTCGCCGACCCATTTTGCGCCTCTCATCAGCATCGGTTGGATTCATGGTTGGAGCTTTTTATTCCACTTACCCAACTTTTCCTCAACATCGAAATCGCTTGTTCTTCTACGTCGTTTTAGCTTAGCAGATCGAGGGCTAGCGACAGACATTTATCCTATGCCTTCGCCCCTCAACCCCCATACGCGTCGTTGTCGCGTTTCGCAGTTCAAACACTAGGATAAAAAGAGAGATCTAGATGCCTATGATAACAGGTAAATGGCATAACTGTCGCACTTAGAGCCACTACAATCGTATCTTTTCTATATTTCCGGCACCGTTTTATGAGGCACTTGTACTAATATGACAAGAAAGCTTAAATTAGTCGATTTTAATTATAGAACATCTATTTGGTAGACTAGTAGACAGTTGTGTTTTTTTTTATCCTGTATGTTTCCTTGAACGCTTCAACGTTTCTGCCTAAATCCATCACTAAAAGTTTGCCTGCTAAACGTATTGAGCTGCAAGCGCTAGTGGGCCTGAACAGATGGTAACCCATCGATCTGCCTGACACTGAAGTTTTTTAATTAGGCGCAAGGAAAGCGTCCTTTAGCATTTGCCTCAAAGCTGATCATAATTTGCTTCAATATCTAGATTGAATGGCTCCTGCCGGTCGACCTCTGTGGTAGCAAAACAAACTAGAGTTACCTGATTTAAACTAAATGAAGCGTACAAATGAGTCTATAATTGAGACAATGGCGACAACTATGTTGGTACGGGAATATTCTACAAGAATGGCACGAAAATAGAACGTACCAAGCACGAAAATTTCTACAGATGATTTACTGTCATATGTAACTAGTCGTAAATCTATAATAATATTATTCGATGGACTGAGTGTGTTAAAAATCCATATCTTTTTTTGTAAACGACACTCTTCATCCAATTGCAATATTTGTAACCAAAATAAAAACGACCTCGCCCTTTTTGTCTGTCCACGAAGAAGCTGTAACTATTTTATTATATATATATGGTTTCGTTTCAATTCTCCTATCCAAAACCAAGCCTCAAGCTGAAAAGCGTATTATTTAACTTGAAGGACACATACGAAATAACTTGATCGATGTCATGGCGTGGTAAATGCCCGTTCAACTGCACGTGTTATAATTACAGAAATTTTCGAGTGGCGCGGGCGCATATGGACCATAGAAAAGTCCTGTTAGTGAGTTCATAACTGCAGGCGTTCTAAATTAAGTACGAGATGTTTACCACAATTTATGTCACTGTTTATAACCAGTGTGGTAACGCTATTGTTGTAAAGTAATAAACGTACACTACTAGTCGCAACTTTTAGACGCATAATTAAGGGTGTCCTTCTTCAGGCCCGTAACGATCGGAGCAAGTGATAGGGACCGTAATATGGGTCGGCGACCATACATCGCAAGATCTATAACGAAGTACAACGGTAACTGTCATTCTAGCAAATCTTATCTTCGTCTCCTATATTCCTTTCAAGCGTCTAATGTTATATCGTATAAATTCATCGAAAAGTTCAAGTGCGAAATCAGCAACTTGGACCAGCTCGTTTGAGTGTAAAGGACGCTGTAGTCGGTTTACTTGTTGGCACTGATTGGACCGCTTTATGACCAAGGCACTATTAGTAGCGTGGCTGCACTGCTGATGAGGGCTGGCGCTCACTAAAGTAGTTTTGGGTAGTACATAACAGCCCTAGCCACGAATAGATGCTTCTTCATCTTTGTTTCAAGTAAGTCGATCATCATCGAGTCCGTATATTAGAGCGAGGCTGCTAGCTTGTACATGGACAGCAGGTGGCGTTAGCGAAGCCTCTTATCAGCTGCGTTCTTCATCGCGACCCGGAAGCCCTTATTGTGTCTCACAGTGTATATTTCTGAGAAGACGTTTGTGGAACTGATCGTATCTGCTACTAATAAAATATTGCTGACTACAGCGGAGCGCTGCCCATCGATTATTGGAGGCCCTAAATCGCTTGAAGGCCAAAGTTTTCTTTGCTTGACCAGTATCTGTGCGTTCGGTTTCTAGCATCGTTTCTCCTCAATTGGACTCAATTCGATTAGCGCCTGAACAGTAAGTTTATACAGTCTTACTCGGTTAGCGAACACGTTGCGTAGCATTTAAGCTATTGAAAAATAAAGACAGGTCTTGGAATAGTTTTTCCATTTTCGGTAGCCTTCATGCAGTAAGTTATAATACCTTCAACAATAGTCAGCATTCGTGGTCCGAGCTTGTTTGCTGCGATCTTTTGTTTTTGGAGGCGTTCGTGTTCCAGTCAACTGGACAGAAGCGTGTTTTGATGGGACAACCCTTCAAAAAAAGTTACCCTTAGGCTCATTTTACATCAAGATAAATTCGTTCTACAAACGTTATCAGAAAGAACTGATTTCAAACCATACCAAAGCCCCCAATATTTCTCGGAAATCTTCTTTTAGGCTTCAGAGAAAAAGCCCTACATCGAATCTCCTCCCATTTTACAACACGGAACAGTTGTATGGAAATTAAGTTCATGTCCGCCTGGCCCCGCATGCTACAAAGCTGAATTGCACAAAAATATCCGGTCTTCGAAACGCGAAGATCCTATCGTTCAACAACGTTGTATATCCTTATAATGAAAAATGTTGAGCATTCATTGAAACCGAACGATATTAATAAAATTGCCAAACTAAATTAGGGCAACCGGAGTTGTTGAAAAGTGCTCCCGTATTAGCTGGACGGCGAAGGATTCGTATCCAGCGAATACTTGCCTGCACTCAACTCAGAAAGCTGATGATACTTTTTTTAAATTAGCCTAGCTTGTATATATATATATATATATATATATATATAGAGAGAGAGAGAGAGAGAACAACTGTGAGCTATGGTGTTCCAGTTGTATTGGGATGAATACGCACCGCTGCCCACGGTCGCGACAAACGATCTAAAGTTCCGTATTATAGCTCCATTATCGACAAAAAATGCGAGTCGTGTTAAAATGATGGGCCTGCCCACTGCGAAAGTAAACTGTAAGGTGAATTATGCCCACGGGATGTTAGCGGTCAACTAGTATGTCAGCAGTGGTTTCAGACGTGTTGTGAGAATCGAAAACAGTCTAACCTCATTCATGTTCCTTTAGGATAAATCACTCCTTTCTGGTTCATCGCTGTTAAATGCGGTTTCAGGATGGGATGTTTCTTTATCTGATAAGATTTGTTACAGTTACGAGATACGATTATCGATACCTTTTTAATACATACGTATACAGCAGATGCAGTCGGCCGAGGCAGCTCATACTTCTGAAGAGTTTTTGAAGTTGGTGCTGCTATGGCATTTGAACACTGTTTATATTGTTGGCAGATGTTCTTCAGTGTTGACAGCATACTTTCTATATTAGATGAAAACATTTTTTCTTAACGTAGACTAGTTGGCTTGCGTTTCGTTAGCGACATGGCAGTATACGACAAGGTTAGAATTTTAGTCACGCAGCTTATTGATCATTTGTTTACTTGAGACTTGGACGTGTAGGCTTCAAGATCGGACTTTGGCGCTAACTAACCCTACTAACAAACAGAACTTTAATTACTACTTCGTTTGATTGGGGTAGTAGAGGCATCGCAACTTGCAGGCACCGTACTTAATCTGCTAACATCGATTGCTTTTTTCCTGGCACGTCAATGAGTCTATCTCAAGAATAGAGTGAATAGTAAAACGCGGACTTTTTTTTCTTTGGTTGTAACGCTTTATTGCTTTCGTTGTTTAGACTGACAGATTTCTATTTAATATAAGCTAATATGTTTTTACAAGGCTAATACACAGACGACTTTTGTAATCTTAAAAAGCCACGGCACATAGGTCGATATTCGTAAACCGAGAATATAAGTACGTCTCATTTGTGAACTTCTTCCCTTAGAATTGCTATGAGAAGTTCTGTAACGCCGTACGCCGTACGCCGTATGGCATCATGTGATGCCGGTGTCAAAATTCGTGTCTTCATTAGTGGGTGCCTTTATATGGGCCTATTGCATATACCTACGTATGTGTGTCAATCATATTAGGTTGTGTTATTATATAATGATGGATTTAGTACACAAGTTTCGTTGCGTCATGTTTGTGTTCGCCCAGTCATCCACACAATAACAGCTTTTAAGACAATCGCTATATAAAAAAGAAGGCTGTCTTCAAAAGTGTTGAGCGCCGACAGTTCAATAAATAATACCCAGTGTGAAGATCTGCGTATTAAACGGGAAGATTACCAAATTGAAATTCATAATTAGCTCGACTTTCTATGATCCTCCTATATGTTTACAGTTTATTCTTTCGATGTTAAAAACATATACAAATAAACTTTATACAGTTCACCGATGTTGCACGTCATTGGCCAACGTGCTGTCTCGCGAACACAAGGGAGGTATTTTTTTTTTTTCTATATTCGGTGTCGCTCTACTGGCTGTAAGCGCCAGTGAATCTACCTAGTGAATTTATCCTGACGTCTATTGTTTCTATGCTCAGTGGTCAGGCAATTCGAAATGATCTTACAGACGAGGTCTGAAGATCTGAAACGTGCTAGCTAAAGTCACATATTTGGCCCAAATGCAGGCATTATGCATACAGGGCATAAATGTAAGTAAATCCGTTGAAGAGGAGTATCCTTAGATAGTGCCTGTCATTGAAATACTCAGATGTCATGTCTCAATTATAGTATTTTCACCGCCATAATCTCACATAATCGCGCCTTATATATATATATATATATATATATATATATATATATATATATATATATATATAAGATAATGGCTAACACACTACGAGATTTCCATATAGGATGACAGTAGCTCTCTAAAAAATGCTGTTACTTATCTTAGAGCCATTTCGGCTGTAGTAGCAAGTCTTCATAAATATGCGTCTGCACCGCCCCATGCGACGCTTCTGCTGAGGATCTTTTCAATTGTGAAATAAATAAATACATACAGCTATGTACACCGATAGAACAGAATGAACCGGTAGCCCCCGGGTGTTCCTCTGTTTCGACCGCTTGTGTGCACCTCACCGTCACTAAAGACCGAATTTCGCACCTTCCGATGACTGAGGAGTATCACCAAGCTTCCAGATGGGTTTTATGGCCTTGGATTAGTGTAGCGGGCTAATGGCTTATGAGGCAGTTACGAAATTGTAACTACGTCGCCAGCCGACAAGTGCTACAAAGACGGCAGCTATCGGGACTTCCGATAAGAGCAACTGCTCCGTAGCGTGTGCGATACTTGGACTCAGAAAAGGAAGGCTGATCCGATTTGATCACTAGGGGTCCCTTCTCGTGCCTATGCAGAAAAATATGTGTAAATATATGTTCACTAGTTTCTAACTTCATATGAACGGAATCCGTGTTAAACTATCGACTACAGTCAGGCATCGTGTCGAGAACTGGGGCCGTAACCGGTAGGGGATACATGTGAAATCGTGCTTTGCCTTCGTGTCCATAAAATGCCTGAGTTTTCACTTAAATGACAACAGACAAAGTAAACACATGGTGCTATCTTCGATCGTAAGAAACAACAAGAATACGTTGAAGCGTATTAATTGTATATGCAGAATTTTGTGGAAACTACATAAATCCATAGGTTTCTATTCTCGCCTGTTGTGTTGTTAAGCAAATGTTGACGGTAAGCCTAGATTTTAAAGAACCTGGAACAAGTCCCACCGTTACATACAGCGGAACAAAACGATAACTACTAGCTTTTTTTTTACAGACAGCTTCTTCTTGAAAGGTTTGAACTTCGTAGAAATGTGGTATATGCTAAATCCTTTTGCTTTACACAAACACAAAACAGTCCGTTGTAAGAAAATCGGTTCCATTAATAATAACCAAATCTGACTACCTACTTGTCGGTTGTAGAACAGGTCAACTCCTTATTCTGCCGTCTAGTGCCGCAGGCGATTTGGTCCCAATGCAGATGACAGCCAATTATGGCAGTCACTAACACGAAGCCGCCTAGGCAAGTAAATGGACTTGGCTGAGTACGCTGAACGGTTGCCTAAATGAAACGTAGTTACCGCAAAACAACACTAATTATAAAAGTATCACTTCGACAAAAAAAAAGGTAAAATCAAATCCCTGCATAACACCGTTTACTTTGATCTGTTCTAAAAATCCGAAATGTCTCGTCATCCTCCTACTACAGCTTCATTTCTGTTCTAACTAACTTGTAGAAAGCAAGGTAACTTTAACAAAGAACATTCGATGGGAGCGCGGTATCGCAATCTAAATCTATCTAGTTTTTTTTTTTTTTTTTTTTATAGACCTATAACTACGTCCTGCTACATCTTGGTCCCTTGAATCGCGTTTAACATACCCCACCTATGCCTATCTCTCATCTTCAATGATTCCCGGGGGTAATTTTCCGGGCACATGGAGTGTGTCAGAATGCGCTTCGTAAACGTATTTTAGCGCCGATAATAACGCGGGAGAAAGGTTAATATAATAACTTAGTACTTTATATATGCATTCCGCGATAACGTGTTGAAGAAATTTTTCATGTTAACATTCAGAATACCTTGTTTCATGTTATTTATGAACCACACGTATTCGCAGAAGAATATGACGTCCCAAATTAGTTATTACAATATTAAAAACACAAACAGGACGATGACCAAATCATATTTGTACACCTGCAATGATCTCTAAAACAGCAGACGTTTAGGACGATGATATAGCAAGGCGCTTATTCGAAGCACATACAGAAGGAGCGTTCAAAAAGGCTAGCAGAGACGAATGATAAATTGCAGAAGGATGTACTGAAGTTGAAAAAAAAACAAGGCAAAAAATAGGGCAAAAGTGCTCGTATCATGAAACAAGCAAGTAAGTCTAAAAGCAAAACTTACGTAACAAATCGCAAACTATCCTAAGTCGGAACTACTCACCTGTAAGACAAACGAGAAAGCAACAGCCAGAGTCATAGATATTGCCACGCGCGAAGGTTCAGCGAGGACGCATGCTAGGGCAGGTAGGTAGGACTGCATTAGGGTGCATATGCCAGCCGCCGCCGCCAGTGCCATGTCCCGAACCGTTGGGACCGTCAAGGAACCAAACGTCGCGGCAGCGATCCCGGCAAGCATCATGCTGGCCATCGAAGCATACAAAGACACCCATAGAGCACTAACACTACCCAATCGCCGCAACCACACCAGAGCGATGGCGTTTGCTAAAGCTGATAGGAGCGTCGAGGCGTAACCGCCTGCACGGCTAGACCTGCCCGACAATAAACAAAAAAACATAGCTCAGGTGAATTGGAAAATTTTAAGCCTGATCGGCGTGTTCTTGAAAGTCAAATCTAATGATTACAATTGTCATCTCAGCTTTGGGTTTGGTCGATTTTTTAAGCTAGCGGTTATAGTGGACACCATTAGAGCTGGCAAACTTGAAAAACATGGACTTTTGCTCTTAGTGTCACGGTTCTCTTAAGCTGGCCTATATCAAGAAAGACGAAGCGCACTTTGAAATGTCTTAGATCGGGTAACGTGCCTCGTCTGTCCATTTGATGGTACTGATTTTTATTGAACATAATCTGTAGTATGCCGATCTTTGTTCTCAACGTGTTTTTTATTTGATATCTACAGTCGCCGTATTGATTCGTCGCGAAAAATCTTAAAACACCTTTTCATTTAAATTGATTGATATCATCCACGTAACGTGAAGGACTGCTTTCTGGCAAAGTCATCCAGTCGAACTTTTCCAATAAATAAATTCAAGTAAACCTATTTTAGAGCGTTAGATTGATCAAACGATATACAAATAACATTCTACAGACAGTTAAGACATTTTCAAAGCAATCTGATTACTGTCAAGCAATGTTAGCTTAAAAATAACTTTTACAAAACTTCCATAAACGTTAGCTGGTGATTGTGAAGTGCTTATGAAGAACTTAATACTAAAATTGTTTAGGACCGCACAAGCAGCCTTTGTGCACAAACGGACCTGCGACCAAATTAATAATCCATTTAGACTTTACTTCTGGACACGCCAACCCGTAGTCATGTCTTGGGCAAAATGGTTGTCTGAGAGATGGATAGATAAACTCTAAGGTTCCTATGTGCATCATGCTCATAGTTGCATAAACTCGCCATATTAATGCTAAAATGCATTCAATGATGGGAAAAAAAACATGGGAAGTTTTTTGCTTATTTTTCAAAATAGTGAGATATTTGTAAAGCAACGCGACTAACTCCTCAAGCAGTATATAAGATAGGCTTCCAAGTCTCATCGATGTGTGTAGTTGCTAGGCGCGGTGGCACCACGAACAACTCGGAAAAAATTTTATAGAAAAGGCTCAAGCGGAAGTATTTGAGCCATTTAATATGCTCAAAAAAAAAAGTTTAACATGCAGGCGGTACAATTCGATATTATTTTCGTGCAGTTTATTCCGCTGTTGCTATAGATTTTGCCAGTATATATAATTTCTATACATTATATAGTTTTTCTTTGTGCAGACCTTTACCAACGTTTACCTAGACCGAATAGAAGTCGACAAAAAAAAAACTCATTTCCAAATAAGGGCATTGTTTGTAGGTCTGAAGTTTGTTTAGACAATACTATTAATCTTAAAAAGTAACAACTATGAAATATGAGTATGACTCACTCACATGCAAAAGGGGCCAACATCAGGATCATTCAGGATAGTGGGCAGAAGTACCGTCATAACTCCTGCTGAAACTACGGCACAAGCTAGTGCTTTTTTAAAACAACGTTCACGTAACAAAATACACCCAAATGCGGCGGTATAAATAGGCACAGTGTTAGCAAGCAGAGAAAATTCGGCGATGGGCAGATGCGCTGATCCCCAAGAAAACGCTAGGAATTTACAGGCGAAAACCGCAGATAGAGCCATCAATTCGAGTCGCGTCCGACCATCGACACTGAAACACAATAGCATCAACAATACACCTGTAAATTCAAGTGGAAAGCTTTCCATTAACGATTTCCACTACTAATCCAATACTCAATTAGTTTATTATGAGCCAATTAACTGTTAGTGATTTATGAGTAACATCAATATCACTAATGTACTAATCGTGCAACAGCTGAGAAATCACGGTTATCAAAAAAATACGCCCTTTCTCTAGCTATAAGCTGAAATACTGAGAAAACGATTAGCACCTTTAGATATGATCAGGCATATAGCTACTCTGAGAATGGAGCGCGGGCTGTGACTTCGTTATGTTTTATGTTAAGTTTTGGTGCCAAGTTCCTAGAAAGTTGTCTTTTTGGTTCGCTTTCAAATTATTTCAATAACGATGTTAAATGTGTGAACGAAATAAACTCGATCGTACGTACGTACGCAGCAATTACGAGATGAGGGTCACAATGTGACGTTAGCATTGAGCGTCATCTACTCTTGTTGTGTTGGCACTTTTAGCATGAAGGTTTATTTTGTGGCTGTTTTCATGTAGCCGAACGTCTGAACTTTTTCGGCTTAGGCGACTTCGGTGGTTGGTGAGGGCCGTGCCTTCATGATGGCCTAGTGGGCAGCGTATTTCGCCGTTCATTCTAACTTGGATGCAATTCAGCTCGCCATGAGAGCCAACTGCTTGATGGATTGTCTAACGGCAGTACCGGGCGTAAAACTCGAAACAGTCATGTAGTTGACGTTGCCACTTAGTGAACTGTTCGTTTCTATATGATGTCCTTTGTCATATCCTATATGTGTACTAGATAACTACTGCAGTTTGAAGAATCTGATTTTTGGCCGTTTGACTTCTTTGCGTGTTCTGTCCAGGCCGACTCTGTAATGCCCGCTTTCGCTATATATAGTCATTTCTAGGTACGATAATAGATGTATTGCACCCTGTATGGAACGAATAGAACACATAGTTCTCACATAAAAAGCGACACACACTCGTCGACGACACCGGCTTCAGCTGCTGCGCCTACGACTGCACACAATTGGATAAGGACGACCATTGATAAAGCGAAGGTAATCTTGAAGTGTAATGAAGTGCATATCATATATTAGCTTGCCATCGAAGAAGGTTTAGTGGTCAACTCAAATGTTGACCTGTCGTTGACAGTCTATGTTGACCTTTATAGTAATCCTGCTTTTCCGATGCCAGCCCCGTCCGGTTTCTATATTACTATGCTATCATATGTGAACTTTAGTTTGGATCAGAAATAAAGCACCCCTGTATTGTTGCACCTCCTCTACTGAGTGTACTTACCTTGAGTAGCACTGCCATAGCTTGAAAAATGTCTGACAAAAATATAGATATTCCATAGAATATTATAGTATAGTAATGCTCCTTAACTTAGTGATACGATCGTAGGCAGCTAGCACACTTTGATAATACACTTGGCACTTAGTATGCAATGGAAGAATTGCTGGTGAACTAATCTACCCATCTGAGTTTACCCGCATGTATATAAACAGTGGACACCCGTCCAAAGAAAAGGATGATTTCAGATGTCTCCTAATGCACCCTCTCGAGGAAACCAAGCTAATCAAAGGCGGGCTTAAGAAACATCTACACAATGTTAGCCTGTGTTTTTCTCGTTGATTGATCGTAATGCGCATCTGTCGTCCGCATTGATCAGTGTGGCTGGGTAATTGGGGCAAGCAACAAATTACTTCATGGACGCATAGACATAATCAGTATTGACCCGGCTATTCCGTCTGTTTGATCAATGGTCATCAAAATAATAAATATTGCCATAAATTGTATCATCGTTGTCTCCTCGTCCGTGACATGTGTTCATCGATTTCCTTCAGTGGGGCTATCACAATTGCACTCGTTTGTCCTGAGCATGTTCGTTTTGTTTGTTTATCTTTTCACATATATTTAAGTAAGAAATTTATCCGCACGTGACAATGCACGAAGCATATAAATGGATTAATATATGCCTGAAATGACTGCTCTTTTATTCTACTCTGCTTTCATAAATTAGAACTAACTGTAGCCATGTTTGAGCAAACGTGTTTTCCTGGTAAAGTGCCCCCAGAGAAATACGGAACTGCCTTTTGGAGATTAGCAAATCACCCTATTAACATTTAGATGACTCCCCCGCAAAATTTCGGCGCCATACTGCTAGTTTACTTTTATATGTATTATACGAAATCGTAGTCCAAAAATAAGACACTCCTTCCACCATATTTTTCGAACACCGAAGAGTTGCTGCTTCAGTCATTATACAACGATACGCTCTCTATTCTTGAGACAATTTCTATCATTTTAAACACGTTTATATATATTTAAGAAGCATAGCTTTGTCAGATCCTTCTAAGCACCAAGCTTGTTGATGCTTACCAAAGCCAAAGTTGTGCTGATTGATAAATAGGCAAAGAGAAAGACTTTTATGAGTAGTTTGTGGCCTAAAGGTGGGCCAATGGTTCCAGTCTCAAAAATGCTAAAATTGATCACCTAAAGGGAGATGTTAATCCAAACTAATTGTATATATATAATTATTGCTATCTTTCGTAACAGCAGAGCTCACCGTAGAGATATTTTATAATAATATTGTTACGGAAGATCTCAGAATTGGAAACATCAGCCTATCAGAGATTCTAGGATGAAAATCGATTCTTTAAGCGTGTTCACGCTAAATGATAATAGGTTTCATTGGGCATGGAACAAGACAAGTCGAGATACCTTGAAAGTCATTAACGTTTCTTTTGTTCTGTTGAATCAAAAATGGAACGGTACTCTGTTAGTTTCCTTACCTAGTGGGAAAAGCCAACGTGTGCAGGTACGTTTCGATATACGCTGGGAAAAACCCTGATCCATCATTAAGGAAGGTGTCGCTAGTGGTAAAAAAGTTACTTTTTTTTTTTTTTTTTTTTTTTTTTTCGGAATCTCAGTCTGTTTAGGGAAAACGCGTCTGCTGCATATTTGAATAACACCGTAAATATAATGCAAGGCAGAGGTAATAAGCATTGTGTACATAATATGCACTTTCCAATTCTAATTCGAATGCCCCTTAAAGCGGATCTCTACAAGTTGATAATAAGCAGACTTATTTAATTATGTATACGGGTATATATGGATATATAATATCGACTCTATATGCTCACCTAAATGTCGGTTTGAACAAAAGTAAAGGCGGTGCAAGGAAAAGCGCCGCAAAAAGGCTTCGGGCACTGCACGTCTGCATGATGCTCATTGACCGTACGGAGCCGTTGAGTAATGAGCCCAGCGTAAGAAAAAGACCTGCCAACAGGCCGAAAAGAGATCCAAGGCTTCTGCGTAACCATGCTGGAGCAGAGTTATGAAATGAAATAGACTCGCTTTGAGATAAACTTTTGTTAGGAATTAAGCCATTTTCGATATTAGCTAAATCTCTCGATGAAGCCTCCGAAGCGAATGAAGCCCGTTGCAAGGAGCATCGCTCGCAGTCCGTTTTCGTAACATCACTCACTTCACTGAGATCCCGTTGTAAACGCTTGCAAACAACAATTTTCACAAATTCCATGTTCTACTGAACCTATTGTTCAGCTGGGAAGTCGTCTGAGTCAGTCAGCAAACATGCACAATTTTTTTTATTTTATCGCTAACGAAAGTTCAATGAATCGAGGATGTCGATGAGTGTAGAGGAGGCGATCTGGTGGAAAGGCCATTCATTAGAAAGATCATCCGTCAAGTCTCTCGATGACGACGTTACCCTCGCACGTGTTTCTACATTGATCCTCAGCATCTTATCTACCGCCGCTCCGCGAAACGCGCCATATTGCCATTGGGGCTAATACCATAACAACAACCTCTATGATCATATTGCCAAGACCCCTTTGAAAATGTAATAAATAGACAAGATTTAATTATGAGCAGCCCAGTCATTTTGAGTTTCATGACCTTTTAGTTGAATACTTTTCTTGGCAAAAGGAATCGTATACAGCCACCGACAGTGGCAACCAGCAATCTATGAACGAGGCCTTGGTTTAATTTCGATGAATCATAAAGTTTATCCAGTTATTGTTATGCTTCCCCCTAGTCTTACCCAGAATGTTCATTCTCCATAACTTTTTAGCGGTCAGTGTCGCAATATCATTCGCTTTAGAACAGCAAATTAGATCAGGAAACCATCCGCTGTTCGAGAGAAGCACAACGGTCAAAGAGCTTAGTCTATAAATGACATCGGCCACTTTGCGAGCTCAGCGTATCGATGACATAAACCCGGCCTGAATATACTGTCTAATTCTCTTATCGCAAGCACCAGTAATCAGTAGAGAAAAAAATGCTTAAACTCGTTTTGGATAGAAAAAGCGGGACCTTTTATGCCGTCGAAAGCTCTCGAATAGCTGGACGTAGGTAAGCTGCTACAGCAGTAGGCGCAAATGATGAGTGGACTGATTGCCACGAACACGGCCATATAACCATTTTATAATTACTTAATTAAGCTGTATATTTTAATTGGATGAAGCGAGGCAACCCCGCTTATGAAAAGCGTTCATCAGCGGGGTAATTTGGGGAACCTAATCAAGCTTCCAGTTTCATATCTAAAAGCTTTAAATGCTTTACTACGCCAAAAGATACGCTGAAAGGAAAAACAGGATCTAATCTAACAAATATCTAATCGAATTAGGCCATACTTCATAATCATATAGATATATTTAATTTCGTATTTTGCAAGATAATACAAAAACGATCCGCACACATATGATGGTCCGTAGAAGATCACTTGCGCACAAAAGTGCGCAAAGGGTTACATATTTCATAATGGGTTATATACACTAACTAGGTAAATGGCTAAAAGCATCGAACTAGAAAAGTCTACGTAAATTAAATGTTCGCGCCATCCATGTTTGGGTCTATTACGAGCCAGCGCTTTCTCTAAATAAAATAGAAATTAGACAATTGCGACGGCTTATTCTCTCGCTGGAAATGTAAGAAATCCCTGCCTAGAGCGTTGCGATCCGAATCTATTTGACCAGACTATTCAGTGTGTTTAATTTATCAAAATACTTACTCGTATCGATCTCCTTCTGTCTGTTTCCCTAATTTAGCATAAACCATTATGCCCTTAGACGCACTAGAGATCTGTAGACGTTCTTGCTCTAATCTAGACATTACAAGGCCCATCATCAGCATCAGTCGTAAATGACATCTGTGTCACATTTTACGATGGTAAGCCCTGCAAAAATGGCAAAAAAAACTGACTGAAAAATCTCTGCTGCCATACATTTTTCGCTACGATTTACTGTCAGCTAACTAAAAGCTAAGCATAAAACTATACCGGAATCTTAAGGCAACATTTTTGTCACATGGTAAAAATTCCTTACGGACAAATACGGGTAACTGCACATAACGAACTCAGTAGGAACTTAAAGGCGTGCACAGCTCTGAGCGACATGAATTTGAAACAAGCTATCGCGAAGGCTGTTGTAACAGATCTGCTAAGTCTCACCTAAAAATGACACAGGAAATAAAGGCGTCACGGCCAGCTATACCTAAACCGGGACAATCTCGTCCTGCGCCGTATTCGTACTATGCTTGAGAGAGAGAAGCTTCGACCAAAAAAAAGCCGTAGGGCCACCACAGAAATGCTAGCCGGCATCATCGATTCCCTCATCCAATAATGGTTCACACAAAACTTGATTCGTTCCATTATCTGTTGATAGTGAAAAAGGATGTTCGATTTAACAAACGCCTGCCTGAAGCGTATTTAGAATTGTCGATCTTAAATCCTGTTTCTTTCACTATCTACTTTTGTTATTTACATACAATTTTAAGGGCATTCGGTTACGTCATTCTTCTAAGCACAAGACAACACATTGTCCTGTGCTTAGAAGTGTTGACAATCCAGGATGCCTGAATAGCTAAATCGCTCACTCGAAATCTAGAGGCTGCGGCTGCTACTTTTCATCTCTCGTTGCTTTCCTATCAGCTTTTAAACGTATCGGTTTGAGCTGAATAAATGAACTATTTATTCAATTTTATATGTTTTTAGTAAATAAAAAAAAAAAAAAAAAACAATTTTTCTGCACATATTGCAATGTACATCCTTTGCCTTGCGCCTAATTTTTA